ACACATCTCACTCTGCCAGGATGCTGCTGAACGACCCGTACAACCCAGGTAATCGAAGAGCCGCAAAGCCAATGGGAGGCGCTGGAGTCGCACACCACCAGTTCAGTGGGCACCTAAGGCACTGGGCAGTCATTTTATCTCCCCATTTGGAGGGGGCAATTTATTACCGAATGTCACCAGGGCTGCCCTGGCTGCAACCGCAAGCTTACCCCTGCCGTAACTACTGCCTGATTGGTTAAACAGTTAATTAGTTAATCATAAAAAAGGCATGACAGCATATGGGGTAGAAATGAGACAGAGTCTTTTAACATTTGATTTTGAGGAATGACTATTACAATGATGTCACTTTGTTCGTTTCATCACCTCACAATTCTATATTCTTCTAGATGACCTGCTGGATGCTGAAATGTCATCTGCTGTATACAGATGCTGTTTCTGCGAGCATTACACCCACAATCACTTGGACTAATTTGACCCAGTGAGGGTTTGATCAACTCCCAGAAATGCATGTTCAATCATGCAAGGATAGGCACTGTGCCCAGAAAATTTTCTGTTAAATGATATCTCAATTCTGGTGAGGTTCAGAGGTGAATGGAAGTCACGCTTAAAAGCCTACATACTACATTCCAGTGGCAAGAAACCCCAGAGCAGGCCCAGAAGCTGGCGTACCACAAATAGACACCAGGCGATTGATGTGGCCTTTCAATACACGATTTCTGGTCGCTGACGAAATCGGACTGCTTAAGGACGAGACTTTATTTTTCAACAGCACTTAGACGAATTCCGATTTAATGGCCCGTGGATCCATGGTGATAAGCCAGAACTGTTACCAGCAATTCACCGCCCTTTCATCCATGATCTCGATACTCAAGCTATGTTGCACGCTCGTGACCTCTTGCTCCTCCACTGAGTATTTGGTTGTGATGATGACTTTGTTGCCCATGTTTTGATGTAGAGGTAACCGCGCATGCGTTTGCACTGCATCGGCGAGATGGATTATGCCATACTTGATGGATGTTGTCGGTGACATCTGTGATATCAGCCACTTGCTTTCGACGGAACACAGCTCAGTGGCCGGCGATTTCAGCCCTGTCTTCGCCGGGCGGGGGGGGGGGGGTTATACCCCTTGCGAGACAAACAGAATGAGTAAAATTTCCTCTATTTGTTCGTAATCTCAGACTGGAGCCTCGATTCAAGTTCCATCTCAAGCCTCTCTTTGCCGTACAGTTCATCATGCAATGTTGCCATCATATCTGATCCAGGGGGGAAGTCAGACTAAAAGATAGGCTCTCCTGCACCCCGCATATTGGCAAGCACAGATTGTCGAAAGTGCCACCGGAGCAGCTCATCTGAGACGTGACTATTGGTAGTTGGATCGCGGCAAACAGGGTCCAATACGCCTCTGTCAATTCCCCAGCTGACAGGCCCGACCTCAACAATTTTGTAACCATCCTTTAATAGATTAGTACAGCAAAAAATGGTTGTGCTCCAAATCACTTACATCTGGGTTCACGGAGAACAGGTATTGGTCAAAGAGAGTGTGCAGATGTCCTGTCATGAGTAATCCATTCTGAATGGAATGAATTTTGGACACTCCCACAGCATCATCCATGTTTGCTATCCAGCGTCCATAGTTAAACTCTATCCACAAACTCTCCTTCTCTAGCGGGAAGACATGTACAGCCTCAAACCCTGCCCAGTCATCCCACTGGGGCCCAGGGTTGACCTGTCCGGATATGACACAATTTCCATCTCTAGCACGAACTCCATCTCGGAATTTATCTTTTCCACCTGAGACAGAATGGCTGGTGAGTCGAACAAACCATGCTTCATTGGTTACTTGAATAGATCCTAGATGAATCAACACATGTTTGACCGCTGTGGCTTTACAAATTTAGAAAACTGGACTTTGTACCTGTAGAGTAGGTATCATAATCTCCAAGAACTGGGTTGCTTGAAGGAGTAATGACTCTTTCTGACACTCTGTGCCGAATAGTCCAAGGATGCCTCTCTTCCACAATTAAAAGAACATCGCTCAGAATCCAGATGAGGTTTTCTTCAGTGATAGAGCCATTCTGGAAAAACCCCCCAACAACAGCGCCTGTTGACGCGTTATAAAAGCGAACATTTCGGTAGGCAGCCCGATCTCGGGGCATGGGACATTGGTGTATTCTCTCTAGGAACAGTATAACAACATAGGATTAGGGACGCGAATGTACCGTTGCAAGGACTGATGAGAATTCAGTCAGTCTTGAACCTTGTGGTTTGAGGTCCCTCCGCCAGTTGCCCTAATTGGGACTCAGCTCCAAACGGGCTTACTTTCATCCGGGGCGGCTTAAAACATCCAAAAACTTAACTTTTAAACTACTGAAAGCACTTGCAACTGACCTCGGGAGAAAATTGCTTTCTTGATGTGTTTGAATTGAGAGCACAAGCCCCTCTTAGTGTTTAATGACTTGTTGTGGCTCTCCTATAGACCATTCGCTAGCCCTTTTGTCAGACTGGCCCTGGCCAAAAAGGCCAATCGCCAGTAATTGTCTAGAGACGAGCACCATCCCTAGGGGTCACCTGATCCCTGTAGGCACTTCTGTTGGACGTCTGAAGTGGTTGTATTGGTAGCCTATCTCAGGGATGCTATATACTACTGTGCGGTGCGCTAGTCCATAATAGGGAGCCTAGGCTCCAACAACTTCTCCCTCCAAAACGAGATCAACCATCCACAATAATGTGGTAATGGCGGATTCACCGTACGCAAGCCAAGCTTCTCCGATTCAACTGACCCAAGTGCCTAGATACCCAAGTCTCGATGGTCAGTTAGATATGTTTGGGAAGCATTGTTTATTCTCACCTATCTCTCTGCAGTTATGGACGATCGTATCAATCAGTCTTTGCCTCTCGATAAACGTGACAGACGACCCTGATGTCTCCTAATGCACGGATCATGATCTCACAATTAATAATCAACTATCCTGTCAGCTGTCAGCTGTAAGAGCAGATGATGTATAGAGAGAGAACTGTCATTGTGAATAGTATTCTATCCCCATGATAGTTGTTGGGAAGCGAATTCGGGGTCCATATCCATACTGGAGGTTACGAGCCATTGTTAACCATAGACAATTACTAAACCCATTGTAGCTTAGTGGAACCATACAAACAATCGCCATAATTTTTCCTCCTTGACAATAACTAGCCTTCCTTGCAGCAAGCTCCTCTCTTATAATATAAAACCCAACTTTAAGATTATTTCAACATGAGTAAGCGCAAGCAATTAAAAGATGGCGACGTGCAGACGGGCAACACAATCAGGGCAATAGGCGAAAATGACAGCAGCAGTGAGGAGGTAAACATTTTAATCTCCGCTCTCCCTTAAATCCCACACACCCCCCCCCCCCAACTTTTTTTTTTTTTGGCATATTCTTTTTAGAACACCAGTTTCTGACAGGCTTTGAGATATGAGATGACAGGAGTTGGATATAGTAAATGTCGACTTTGAGTGGTTCGATCCACAGCCATCAGTAGACTTCGAAGGCATCAGGAATCTCGTTCGCCAACTGCTGGACAATGATGCGCCACTATTTGACCTCTCAACATTAACAGAACTGATACTGTCGCAACCCCTGTTAGGCTCGACGGTGAAGGTTGACGGGAATGAAAGTGACCCATTTGCATTCCTGACTGTGCTGAATCTGCAGCAGCATAAGGTGCGTATAACGTCTACTCACGATAGCCGTTACCCTCATGAAGTGTACTACCATATGTCTATGTACTCTGTAATCCTCAATGCTAATCCCATATGTTACTTGATTATACAGGAGGTGCCCGTTATAAAAGATCTAACAAACTACCTCCAACGAAAATCTTCCTCTCCCCAATTCTCACACCTACATGAACTCCTATCACAGCCAACTACACCAGCAATTGGATTGGTATTAACAGAACGACTGATCAACGTCCCTGTTGAAGTTGTTCCACCCATGTATGCCATGCTCCTAGAAGAAATAGCCTGGGCCCTTGAAGAAAACGAACCCTACAACTTCTCACACTACCTTGTTCTATCACGGACCTACGAAAAAGTCAAATCAAAACTAGATGAGAAAGACGATAGGCCGCAAAAGAAGAAGAAAAGGGATGTGGATGAGAAAACCGAAACATTCTATTTCCACCCGGAAGATGAAATACTGCAAAAACATGCGCTCTGCTATGGGGGATATCAATACACGCATCAGCAGGAGGAAGGCGCATCAGACTCCAAGCGGGCGTTTCATGAATATGGGGTGCGGCCGGGGGGGCATTTGATTCTCATAGAAGCGGCGAAGTTCAAAGAGGCGGTGGTTGATTTAAAGGGATATCTAATGCCGTCATGAAGAAATGAATGACACTCGGATTTAATTTTTTGTCTCTATCATATATAAATCCTTTCATTCCTTAAAGTTTCCCTTTTCCCCCTTACCCTTCCCCTCCCCCACCATTTTCGCCTTCATCTTTGAAGGTACGTAACGCCGTAAACCGTCAATCGTCGTGAAATCATTGTGCCGAAATAAAAGTATATTCCTATCTATTCCTTCTACGGATATGTCTGTGATTATTCCCATTGGGTGCCATTCAGCCGCTGCATTAGATATTCCACCTCCACAATCTTCGTCATCGGAATCACGTTGTCCTATTACGCTGTTAGTCCGGGCAACCAGCACAACGATTCAATAGAATATTATGACAAACCTTATACATCGCCACAACCGCCTCAACATTAATCTTCTGGTTATCGTCGTCAGGCGTAAGAGGCCCAGCAGGATCTGTTCCATATGCCCTTGCCTTCAGCCTGAGTCGTTCCAGCACTTTCTTCTCCACCGCGACATTGGTAATAGCCTCATGGATCCCTTCCCTATCGCCAGCTTTAATCAACTTGACAAACTTCTCAGGATCTGCCCGGAACTTGGACTCAGCCACAAACTTGCCAAAGTGTATCCGTCTCGACAACGCCTGCAGACAATTGACATCGCACGTTGCTGCAGAGCCGTAATTCTCCTGCGCCTCGCCACGATCCTCGCGGTTGAATTTCTTACAAGCCTTGGGTAGGATCTCGTTCATGTATCGCGACTTGATTACAGAGTTGATGTTGACATCGTTGTCATGGAGGATCTTGGGGTAATCAATGGGTTGGATGATGAGCTCTTCAAGGGCATCTGGGAAAAACGGGTATTCATCTGGGGACTGGTAGCGGCGCACACGGGACTGGAGACGTTCCTGCTCTCGCAGCAGGTAGTCCATAAGACTGAGGTCTGAGTTCGGGATTTTGACGCCGCCGGGGATATAGATGGTTTTGTTGAGGGGGAATTGGACACGCTCGATTAGGTGGAAGGTGATGGTATCTTCGAGACGACTAAATGAGGGGCATTAGCAGGGTAGGGTAACTTTTCCGAAAGGTTTGTTATAGAGTTCTTCTACTTCTTCCTTTCTCTTTGATTATTCCTTCCACGCTTCAAATTTCTTCGTGGAGGAGGAATACAAGGAAGGGTATACAGTCATCGGTACGTGGTGGGGTAGATGGTTTGAGTTGCTCACTTACATTAGCTGGAAGCGAATATTAGCAAGGTCCAAAGCTTTGGAAGCGTCAGACAGGTCAATAACGGCATCCATTCTGTCTGGAGCTCTGTGCAGCTGGAGAGTCGAGGTGCTGATCGAAGATGGGCAGAGGTATACCGGTCTGGTTGGAAGGTGGGTTGGTTTATGGCTTAGCACGTTGGATCGCAAATAAGCTTATTTGGTCAAAGCATCTAATATGCCGCTAGTAAATTAGCTGAAAGTTTCTTGCATTCTGCTCTTGCACTCAACCAAACTTACGTACAGAGGAACATTTATAGTACCTGTAAAATGTAGATCTAACAACCATAGATGGCCCCATTTGGTTAAAAGTAAAATTCTATCGTCGCCCCGAGTACCAACATAGAGAGTTGCTTCGACAATCCCAGGTACATTCTCTGAGAGTAAAATATTTAATAATAATGTATTGAACAAATTAACACTTACCGTGGCTCAGTGGTCTAGTCGAATGATTCGCGCTTTGGGTTCTTTTTCAAAAATGCGCGAGGTCCCGGGTTCAATTCCCGGCTGAGCCCAGGTTATTTTATTTTATTTTACATTTCCCCTTAATTTGTTAATTAATCTATATATATTTACTATTACTATTATTATTTTTAAAATTTCTTTTAAATATTGTTTTGTTAGCTATTATACACCAGTTTTTTCAAAAATATTAATAGGTTTTTTTTTAATATTATAATAGTATTAAAAATTTACTGAAAGTTTTTATTTATATTATATTTACATAGTAAAATAATAATATTATATATAATAATAGATTATTATTTAAAAAAAGTAATTATAAAAATTTTCAAAATAGAAAATATTTTAAAAAAGTAAAATAAATAAATTTAAAAAAAAATATTTAAAAAAGTGTAAAAAATAATAAATATGTTATTAAATACAACTGCAGTACTTTTTTTATAAAACAAAACATAAATTTATTAAAAAAAAAATAAATAAAACTTAAAAGATAAATAAAAAATATATGTTAAAATTTTAAAAAATAATTCAAATATAGATTATTTAATTGTATAAATTTATCAATTATGTTATTATTTTTAACTTAAAAACTTACCTAGTAAATCATTCAGTAAATCAACTAGAGTAGTAATATATAATGTCGAGATTTCTTATACTAGCATCTTGCCCTCACACTGCTATTATCCGAGGCACTTCATGGAGGATCAGACTACCTCACATCGCTATTTCCCCTTTTCACGAAGAATTAGATTATCCGAGGTGAAACCTATTGTTACTCATTCATGTATATAAATAAACACTCTGATTCTTCTGAATTTCTTTCAAGAGTTTCAGTGATCAGCTACTATTCAATTCTACATCTATGTTTCACTCGTCACTATTCTTTTCACTTCTCAGCGCCTATCCCTCTACTCTCTTATGATATTAGTTATAGTGCTTCTCATGCTTCCTTTTGACACTTAGTTCATCCACATCAAGTGTTCTCACATAATAATTGACAATTTATATACATTTAATATAGTTATATCTTCAAAAGTAAATACTGATTCTCAAATTGGACAGTTATTTTCTTCTTTTTCTTCTTCTTATTCCATCCAGATTTGCGTCTCTCAACCACCTGTTGTTGGTAGGTCCAGGAACCAGAAAACGGCATATTGTGTGCCAAGGTTTGGGAATGCTTCTACACGTGGTCAGGATGAGGGGTGGGAGGTTAGCAGCCGATGTTCTCACAACCAGTCAGGAGGAAGAAAAGTCAAAATGACCCAATCCGCATCCCCAGATTTGATTTAGGGTTCGCAAGCGCCAACCCCAATAACTATGCTCCAACCTCGGATGCATCTCTTCCGTGACATCATGGTACTGGCATCTTAACGTTACAGTGAGAAATGATTGCAGCAGGAAATTCTAAGGTGGGCAACCCTAGACTCTACGAAGCAAATCAGCTCATGCCCCTCGGTCCGAAGCCTTTGAAGCACGGCGAAATAGAAACCACCCACCTGCATCCAGCCGCAGAGGAGCTTACACTACGAAGAACAGCACATGGCAAATGATCACATGGCTTTCACGGAGATGAAGAGTTGTAACAAATTGGATCCTACAGCATCGGTTGGCTCAAGTTATCCCTTTTCCTCTTCTGTCTCGTCGATTCTTTGGCGTGGCATCGTCATCTAGCTACTCAAATGGTGCTACAATGGGGCCCAAAAATACTCCGTACATGGTTTGGTAATACCTACTGTTTAACTACTAATAACATGCTTTCCAACCATTTGTAGGCTAGAATGCATGGCCACAAGCCATCTCGTGGTACCATTATTGATGCTGAGCTTCGCGCCAAGGATGAGGAACGCCTATTTCAGAAAGGCTACAAGTAAGCCGCCTCGTTTTGAACGCGGGTTACTCGGATTGGAATCCGAGAACGGATTCTGACCGCATTTGGTGGGTTAAGGGTTGAGGGTTCCGGGGCCCCGGGAGTGGGGGATTTGGGGATAGTTAGCGATTTCTGCGAGCATTGAAATTCAGTCTGCTTGAAGCCGAAAAATTGATTTGTCAGTTCAGTGGGGAGGGGTCCTGGGGTTTGGGGATAGTTAAACGATTTCTGCGAGCATTGAAATTCGGTCTGCTTGAAGCCGAAAAATTGATTCGTCAGTTTTTTTCGGGGGCGGGAATGGGGGGTTTGGGGATAGTTAACATTGGTCTGCTTGAAGCCGAAAAATTGATTTGTCAGTTCCGTGGGGAACGGAACGGGTCGGTGTCACATGAGCATTTTTAAGAAGTTTGAAGTTTATAACTAACTAGTTAAGTTGATTGGAGACATGGCAAGATTGTATTCCATTTTCAGTCGTAACCGCTCCAGGGCATATGCGAACAAAGTCAACTGCTGTACTCCCGTATTCGATCTACCTTGAAAGAACGCTTCTCATAAATCCCCCTATGCATCACATTTCAAGTGCCTTTCATTCCATATATCTCAGGTCCCTTGCCCTTAACTAACCCTCAACCCTAATCCTAACCTAATCAATCCATAACCTTATCTATGCTAACCTAATCTTAACTTAACCCGCCCCATGTTTACCAAATTCCGGTAATTCACCAATTTAGCTAATGCCGGGTTCCGAAAGCGTCCTTGACCAACACGATTGTTGATTGCAAGACCTCGCAATCATCTCTATGGCTGCAGGGTCAAGCGGGTTCAAAAGATTGAAAGTGGAGAAAAGAAGAATATCAACCATATAAAAATATAGCTGACAATTCAGATACAGCATTCACCACTGCCATCAATATAAATTTGACGCACACAGAATGCTAACCCATAGTGGATTCAGTGGATTCCATTGCAAGGAGAGGGCTTCTAGAAAAACACCCAAGAGACGAGTTTCACGGGGCAAAAAAAAAAAAAAAAGAAAGAAAGAAAGAAAGAAAAAAAGAAAATTCGACTAATTTGCTCCTGTAGGTACAATTGAAGAGTGTACGGAGTATAGGATACAACTTTTTCGGATGGTAGATTAAAACATTTGAAAATCTATATAACTGTGAAGACAATTTAGACCTAAATGCCAGAATACCCAGTTTATACATGCCACCTCTTAAAGAACAACCCCACAAATCTGAAAACCAAATACCTAAAATATGAAAATATCAAGGTGATGCGCTGGTTAAGCATGGAAACGGCTGTAATAACTTCCTCTGTATTCAATGCACAACACAAGCATCAACCCCAGGGTGGGTTGAGTTTGTATAGGCATTATAGACAGTAGAGTTCTGTACGGATCGGCTCCAAGGCCCCCTTACAAAGTTCGTAATAGTTACGGGAGGGCCGGTAAAGAGATAACCAAACCACGTACGGGGGTTATAGTTGTCACCTGAGGGTATCGCTGAAGTAGCCGTCAGTCTAACATGTCTTTTTGTGCCATGTTTGGGGACTGGAAATGTACCAGAAACAACTATAAGGGAAGTGCAGCCACCGTTGTTGTTACAACTCTCCTGAGCATATTGAATTATTCCTTCCAGTGAGAGTTCACTATAGTTCCTATTAAATCCTTCGGCAACACGGACAGGGAACAAATCCAAGCCTGGGATCCAGTCAGCGGGTGGGGGAAGGTGGAGTAGACAATATGTCTTGTTGATGGCATTGACCCCAGTGGGACTACCACTCAGGGAAAGGATAGCGACCGCCAGAAAGACCGTTAGCTTCATATTTTCTGCTGGGCGTCCGGAAACGATTCAAGCATAGAGAATGAATATTTGGAGCTTAGAATAGCTACCTGTAGTTTTAAGGCGTATTTATATGGATATATGAGGGTGGAGGAAGGAAGAAGACAAAATAGGAACCTCTACATGTGGGCTGACATTTAGGAAGAGTTTGGCTTTTCTGTCCCTTGTTCTCCATGGCAATGACGGCTAACGGGAGATGTTTTATAGATAAACTTATTACAACGAAAAGGATTAAATACCTCGGGACACCTGGCGGTTTTGATTTGGCCCCTCCCCAACAAATGAATGTTGCGCTGGTAAAACAACGTAAACTTTAAACCCTAGTTCAACTTCATTCCAACCAAAGGTCAATCGGGCGATGGAAGAACAAGCTACAAACTAACTAGCAACTTAGTTATTGCAGGGACAGAAGCTAGCGAGAATCCGAAAATTAAAAGTATCAATAACTCTATGATGTCCATGCCATTCAGACTGAGGAGTGAGGAGCCTCAAGAAGTCATTATGACAGTGTTTCCACAAAATCATCCGAGTCCAAATTCTTTACGACTCTGGCTTCTCCAAATTTCCGCATTGGGAGCTCTGGATGTATGACAGATTGCTACCAGCTGAATATCAGGGTGATAATTTCTCTAAAATAAGATGCGAACTTTCTTCTGAATGTTCTGAATCTTTGTTATTTGGAAATGCAGGTGGAGGCGGACGTTCTGTTCAAAAACATATCCTGAGCCTCCTGTGGGTATTCCTCAAGAGATCCTGAGCTGTTTTGGGCCATCCAGGTACGCACTTATGACCAGACATGGTTGAAGAATGGGGAATATCCTCCACTTGCAAGCCATCTTTTTAAAACGTTCCTATCTCAAGAAGCTAGGTACGTTATGTTGGACATTGTGTCGTATTTCCTCACGTTTCATTTCCGCCCTCGGATGATTCTATATCTCTCTCATTTCCACTCTATCCATACCACAGAATTTCTTTCTTGATATGTTACGTATGTACCAGTGGATACACTCCACAACGCAATGTGTTTGTTAGTAATTCACTCAAAATGGAAGGTTGCATCTCCTCTGGGGAAACTACGGCAGCCTATAGTGCGGCAGCCTATAGTGACATTTGAGTCAAATGGGTTTTTTTGATGGTTTTTATACTAGTGTTACCATGAACACGCACCAATCATATTCATTTCATTTGTAATCAAATAGACCTTGTTGATTACAGCTTCTCTGACTCTATTGAATACATGAGTGGCAAGAATAGAGGTAAGAATAGGGGGTAAGAATAGGGGTAAGAATAGAGGCAAGAATAGATCTGTGAGAAGTAAGACTTCTTATGAGAATAATAGATAGCAAAACAATTCTTCACATTAATATCAATCTTTACAGAGTAAACTAAAATCTATCAAACATTTTACTAATCATTCTCAACTCTGATGTCAAAAGAATCTATCAATCAATCTATCAATCACTCTCAATGTTGATGCTGAAATCTTGTCTCATTTACTGATGAGTCAAGATAGTTTGATTGTGTTTCAATTTCACTATAATGACTTTTTTCCATCTCTGTCACAGTGTTTTTCATCTTCTTCTTTGCATTTTTCTCCTCTGTCTTTGATTCTGACTTTTCTCACTTGAATAATAGATCCTTCTCAAGCTTCATTGTCTCCAATTTATTAATTTTGTCTTCAGATTTCATAGGGATTAGGGACGGCTGTCTTCATTTGATAAGATTTAGAATGGGTAAATCAACTGAGAGAGCACATTTGTGTTTGATCACTGATACAGAGATATTCTCTTCTTTGACTTTGATATCTGGTGATTTGACTTTGATATTCTTTGGTTTCAATGGTTGTTCAATGGGGTGATTGGACTCATCATAGATAACAAGACAAATGTGAATAATTGTAGTTGTTGAGATTGATGAGTGTGCTTTCTTAAATGAACTCAATAACTTTTTCAAATCTAACATTCAAACATCAGAAGTGAACATAACTGCATCATCTTTTCCTGTAACTGAGGCAGAAATGAATACATCAACTGGAGAAACAACAGTAAGAATATTCTTTCAAGCTGTATCAAGTCTGGCAGTGATGATTTCTAGAAAATCCTCCATTGTAAAAACACATAATCTCAGTAGATTTCATTTTGAATTTTTCAAAATGACTTCCAGTTATAGTGTGTTTGTAGTTTGGCGTCATTGTATTCACACTTCCAAATATGAATAAGAATTTTATAGGATTTTCACAAGGATAATAATTGATTCAGCTCAGGTTTGATTGCAGATTCTTTTATAGGTGATGTATGTTGAATTGATGTACCAGCATTAGAGGTCATTTGTTGAACTTTCTGTGTTTTTTGAATAGCCAGTTGACGTGCTCATTGAGGAGGTCCAGGATCAAGAATTGTGACAGAGAGTGACAGTGTCAGAGTTGGAGGACTGGGACTATCTTCAATGACAATGATTTCATCATTTATTGAAGAGATGATAGAGGATTTTAGTGTAGATGAATTAACTTTGCCACAATAAGAACAGGCAGCTTCACTATTACAGTGTGCTTCATGAGAAAATCCAGGACAATTGAAGCAGAATGGTGTCCACATAGTGAAGTAAATCAAGATGATAATAAACAACAAAGAGAAGAACAGGAAAATTTGAGTGTGTGTATATATATATCTGTTTTTGAGGGTAAGAGAGTGAGAGAGAGAATGTGTGTGTGTGTGTATGTGGATTTCGGTAACTTGATAAGTATAATGATTAGTATAATAGCTAACCATTTTGAGAGTGTTAGACATGATGAGTAATATTATATAATATTTTTAAAGAGTGTACACACAACAGAATATTACTGTATCAATTAAATAAGAAAACTGTTAATTGATATATATTTTAATACTGTCAATAACTTTAGATATGACTATATAATGATAAATGATTATAATTTTCAAATGATAGAGTGTTCAAGTATATGAATACATATATTCTGTATGTACGGTGTACATACATTGTATGTATATATATATATCTAGTTCAAAATCCACATAGCACTACAATATAAAATTTATAGAATAATAGTTATTGTAACAAACTTACAAAGTATATTCTTGAGAATATTAGTAGAATACTTAGTATAATACTTATTCATATTCAATCTAATTACATCTGTGATACATCTGACTTAAGATTCTCATTATTCTCAGCAGAGATATCAGACTTGATATCTTCACTATTCTCACTATTCTCATCATAGATTTTCAATTTCATCACATTATCAAAATTTATCTCATGCTCCTGCAATCACTCTGTCAGCTAGTCTCAAGTACCAGTTGACTTTTCAGATTCCTGTAGAATAGGAACTTGTTGAGATCTTATATGATCATGTACATGTTTTCGCAGCTGAAGATATATTATCTTATGTATACATTCACCCTGTTCATTGACAGCTACAGCAGTAACTCTTCCAGAAAAAAATCCTAACTTTGAAATCTGATTCTGACACTAATTCTTTGTCTCAAGTAGTAGATACTCATTAATATCTGTCAAGTATTAGTATTTCTATAATATTAAATCAACAAAGATATTAGTAATGAAGATATTACATACCTCAGTTCTCAAAATGCATGTGAAGTTCTGAAAGCACTTGTGAATCTGATTTTAAACCATGCTGTAATGTATTATTAGAATGATAATAGAGCTTTCAAGGCTGTTCATATACCCCATCAGGTTGTTTACATTGAGTGCGAATTTGATGATTATTCCAGACTCCCACATAGTTGTCACCTTTTATTGAATAATTGGCATATATACAGTGAGAAAGGCAATATAATTGGATACTGTATTGATGTGATATAGACCTGCATGACTGAGATTCAGAAAATAGCACTGAGAAAAGATTAGTATAAAGATTAGTATAATAATTAATAGCAAGAATATGGAATTTCATACTCTCCAGTAATTTATCAACTGTTTTGCAAGTTGTCCTCATCAAGATTCAATTCATTGATTTAGTGTACTTGTTCCAAATCAATAGCACTCATTCAAAGAAACATTTGAATCAGTTGTCTGATGTAGTTTGAGTTGTGCAGCTGCAATCATTGAAGTTTCAGTTCCTCAATTTGAATGAATAACTTGAGGAAAAGTATCAGTGATTTGAAGAACATCAAGAAATTGTCAAAGAACAGAAACAGCGATATGGTTTGTGATTCCAATATATATCCATACTATATATCAAGAATATGCATCAATTGCTGAATAGATTTCAATTCCCCAATGTTGAAACTTGTAATAACCATCAATAGACTAAAGATAATTTGGTACAGGAACAATATAGGATCCTCAGTGACATTGAAGATTATTTAGTTGATGTGTAATTTTATCTGAATTGAGCAGCTGAACTGTTTTGAATAGATGATCTCTGATTTTATTAGTATTATATTAATCATTATATTAATCAAAATATACTGTGAAATGCTATACCCCTGCTGCTTAAAATGAGTATACAGATGTCCTCTTCTAAAACTCTAAATAAATCCACTGTCAAGCTCTTTCTGTACAGTAGATATAAGCTCTTTCTGCACCTCATCATTCTCATAGTCATCTTTTCGCTGATGAAGTTTCAATTACTACCGAATTTGACAAAGCTCACGTATAGAAAGTTGAGACTCAGGATGCTTTTATTGAATAACTGATAGAATATCAGCATCCTGCAAGCCTTGTGAAAACAATTCTTGAATAAGATTTTGAATTGATTCATCAGCTTCCCATTTCTTGGTTATTTAATGTTTCATTTTTGAAGACAACAAACAAGAGTTGATCGACTAACTTCAAGATTATGATCTCATTTCAATTGAGAGATAATATTTTGTTGAGTTAAATTGTGTTGATGAAGATTAATAATAATATCTTTGTGAGAAAGAAGATATGAATAACTGAACAGAGGTATTTTAAAAGAAAGTGAAAGAAAAAGTATTCATTATTCTAAAATAAAGAAA